TAAAGCCTGCAACGAGCCTTACTCCAAAACACACCGGTGAGAACCCACGAACACAAAGATTAGTGGCAAAAGCTGTCCATGTCTCCCACGAAACAGCACTTAACATAATCAAGAAAAATCTCCTCGACTCGCAATCTTAGGGTCGCGGGTTCGAATCCCAGTCACATCAAAACATGCTCGTCCTTTCAGCCGTGGGGGCGTTATAATGCTACGGTCAATCCTACTATTCGTTGGTAAAAGAGTAGCCCAAGAGTTGGCGGTGGGTAGTGATGACTAGCTGCCTTCCCTCTAGTCTTACATTGCTAAATTAGGGACGGCTAGCGCAGATAGCCCTCGAGTAGCTTTGCGCGAAATTCAAAACAAACAAACAAACAAGAAAGATCTCCACCTGGGAAAGCGACACAAGTCACCTGTACGCAAGTAGCTTCCGTAATATGTCTGTTTAGTAGCAAATTCAAGTCACTTGTAAAACATATAGTTCTTCAAGCCATTTCGTTCATGTCCTGCATGATCGGGAATGTTGAACGGCTGTTGACAACCAAATCTTCAAGTTAATCGAATGCAGTTTGAATGAGGAAACGCTTCAGATCAAGGAGGCATTATATATATTAAACTACTTTGTTTATTTGAAGTTAAGCACAAAGCTACACAATGGGCTATCTGTGCTCTGCCGATCACGAGTATCAAAACCCGGTTTTTAACGTTGTAAGCCCTCAGACATACCGCTGTGCTACTAGGGGCTAAGCTTCTTTAACAACGAACCAAGTCTACATATGAATCAACAAGTTTCGCCGTTAAGGCTCAAAATTGTAATTTATTATAATTAGATTATGAGGGTTCGGATCCCCGTCCCATCAAAGATGCTCGCCCTTTCAGCCGTGGGGGCGTTATAATGTGACGGTCAATCTTACTATTCGTTGGTAAAACAGTTGCCCAAGAGTTGGCGGTGGGTGGTGATGACTAGCTGCCTTCCCTTTAGTTTTAAACTGCTAAATTAGGGACGGCTAGCGCAGATAGTCCTCGTGTAGCTTTGTGCGAAATTCTAAGCAAATAAACAATCAAATTATGAACTTTTTATAAAGGTAGCAGACTACTAGAATATTCTCAGAGTCCCTGTTGGTTGACTATAAGCCAGTAGTCAAGTAGTGATTATCAAATCGCTCACCACGATGTGAGGTCTCCTTACTGGAAATTTCAGTTCCTTCAACCACATCCAGTCTTTCTTTAAAAGTTTTCACAAAGGTAACGAAGCACATCTCACTGGCAGGGAAACAATCACTCGTCACAAGAAAACATAATGAAGAGAAAGTGACAGAAACACAAACCGATAGATGAAAGAATTGTAACACATTTGTATTATCCCACCCCATTAGATCCTTGTAACGGCAGAAGATACTCTTCCCACTATTTCTGTGTTATTATTATATATAGAAATCACGCAGGTACGTAAATCCTGCAATAGCAAGAGGGATTAGTGTGCAATTAGTGTGCAAAGCACTTGTAAGAAGTAAAGTAATGGTCATTCATGCTGTTGGATAGTACTGAAAGGGTTGACTTGTGTTAAAGGATGGCATGGTCACAAAGGTCAGTGGCAAAAGACATCCACATGCCCAGGCAACTGTACTCAACATAATCAAGAAGGATCACCATTTGAAAAAATGACCCAAGTGACATCCATAGTATATCCGTTCAATCGTCGCATACCTCAAGTAGCTAGAGAATGAAACAAGTATTCATGCTTGTCCATACGAAAACGTACTGGTTAAGTCGCCAAACGCAGCACATATATGGGTTTCTTTTCGACTGGATATTTGAAACAGGCGTGGCAAACCATCGTCTTCGTACACTATATGGATTACGAAAAGTATGCAGGAAGGAGAGTTGTGCTTTGAACATGAAAGCCTTAGGACGTAGCCTTTTGCAATAGAAATTACACTGCAGGGCTATTGTAAAGATACACACACACACACAGTTCGGATAGAGAATGACCTGGCGAGGCTTCATGGACTGTAACGACATCTGAGGATGTAAACTCGTTTTAATGTAACGTATTCAACCATCTTTATATGTAAGTTGCTAAGGTAAGTATCGATGAGACTGGTTGAATATATATATATATGCGATATAACAGTTGCTAGAATAATGTTAAGTATAGTGTGCATATATATATATATATATATATATATATATATATATA